GGACCAATCTCCCCAGTTTACAGAGGTGAAAACTGAGGGTAGAAGTGGTTAAGTAATTTCCAAAGGATCATACAGCCACTAAATTGTAGAAACTGGCTTGGAAACTAGGCACTCTCTCTCCTGTCTATACTCCTGACCTCTATACTGTACTTCCTGTTGAGGCCACTGAGAGGAAAGAGATTCAAGTACAAAGGCCGCCATCTTGGCCTGCATGTGTGCGAGAGGGACTGAGAGACATGGAGCCAGAGAGAGGGGGCTCCTTTCTTACTAATCCCAACTCTGCATCTGGCTGTCACTTCCCCTTGGTACCTTCACTCCTGCTTGACCTCAGTGTTCATTTTCAGTTGTTTTGTAGGAGAAAAGAAAGGAAAGGGCTTTCATCAAACTGCCTCCTGCCCTTTCCAGTTACAGAGTCTTGCGTATTTGCATTAATGCTCAAGAATGCAGTCACCCTGCTTCTGGCATCTACTCCAGGGCTCACCAGGGACACTGACTGATAGACCAGCATGAATAGACTCCAAGACAAGGATTCAACTGCAAGCAGTTGACTTGGGCAGCAAAACAAACACCAGTAGGAGAAAGAGGAAGCAAGTAGAGACAGAAAGGCAGTCAGCAAAGATTATCTTAGCTAGAATAATAGCTCTAGCCCACTGGAAAAGCTCCCAGAGCCCACGTGGAACACGCACTCGAGGGATGAAGGAGCAGGGCCACACACAGCCACTCCCATCAACTGCTGGGTGAGGACTTCTGAGGCAGCTGTGGTCATTCCCCATTCTGTGGGCCCTCTCTATGAGTAGCAAAGCAGGCAGTAGCAGGGAGAGGATGCTCCTGGCCAAAATGCAGGAGGCCGCAGTTGGACGTCAGGCAGGTGTGCTGTGAAGTGGTAAGGACAAGGCAGGAGTTCCCAACCTTTTTCATGCAGCAGAATCACCAGGTAAAACACAAAGCCCTGAGCCCTACTCCCAGAGCTCAGCAGGTGGGGATGCAAGAATTTGCATCTCTAATGAGTTTCCAGGTGCTACTGCTGCTACTCGTCTGGAGCCACACCTTGAGAACCACCAGGCTCAGGATATAAGCAGGGCACTGACCTTATACCTGGGGGAAATCCAGTACCTAGCACTGGTGGAGCTTAGAGACACCTCTGCTTTGCCCTCTGCCAGAAAACTCTCCCACTCAAAGCCTGTGTGTGGGAGTCACATGCCAACAGACTTTGCACCATGCATCGGACTTCTCTGCACCTTCTATGGCCGAGTCCCATCCTGTGAGACCCATCCTGGTATTTTTCTTTGGATGTGACCTGACAAACTTAGGTCCTTGGGGCAAAGAATGCAAACAAACAAATAATTCTGAAGGGATCCAGCTTTTGGCTATCCAGTCAAATCCAGCTATAGATAAGCCAAGCTCAGGAAGTTGCTCCTCCTGATCTGACGGCTCTCCTGCCAGGCCTCAGTCAGAATCCTGATGTAGCGACCTTGAGATCTTTCTCTTCCAATCTGGCAAGGGCAAATCCTCCAGAAGACACCCCTAAAATCATGCTTTTATCACCTGACACTCATTCAATAGTTGTGGTCATCGGAAAAATAACAGATTCCCTGTCCTTCGATGTTTATTTACAATAAAAGCACATGCTTGCAGGGAACAGGGAATCCTAAACAGAAAGTGATGCTTATGTCACAATACTAAATTTCCACTTGAAACCTACACCATCAGTTTCACAATACAAAAACCACTCGTGACCTATTAAGAGGTGAGCTGGAAAAGGCAGGAAGACAGAGATAACAAATTTACCCTTCATGGGAGCAGAGGCATCCTCATTTATCTTTTACAGTGATCACCCCTAGCAAAGAGTACGACAAAGCCACAGCCACACACTTCCATTTTGAGACGAGGTCACAGCCACAAAAGCCAAGGTATTAGGCCTCAGAGCACTGCAGCTTTCTGTACCTGCCCGGTTCAGGAGGTCAGTCACTACAGAATGTTGAGGTTAACGCTTCTTAGGAGGCTCTGCAATTATCTGCAGTTCAGAGCTTCATGGTGAGGGAAAGAAAAGCTTCTCCCTTTCACAAATCAGAACATTTTTCCAGCTTTCCCAATGGGTTGCCAAGTGACTCAGCATTGGCCCAGTGTGGGCACTATTATTGATGAGAAATCTTCCGCCTGGGTGATATACTGCATACAACACATGCCCAAAGAACAGTGCCAAGTCATACCAGGAAGAGCAGGCGAGTTATTCACCTCCACTTCAAATGCAGGCAAATCCTTTCTTAATACAGGGGCTACTTGGTATCAGAAAGACAAAGCCCTAAGATAGGGAGAGATTTCCAACTAAGATTCAAGGAATTATTAGGCAGAGCCTCTCCTTTCTTGTTGACTATTAAAAGGTAATCAAATCGAGGACAGCAGAGGAAAAGGGCAAGAAAAAAATTATTTCAAAAACAACCCCGGAGTAGAAAGCTGCATAAAAGCTTTCAATGCCGCAAGTGTTCCTTGTGAGTACCACGAGCTCCACCCAGAGGTCATTTTCAGAACTGCATGTTCATTTAATGTTGAAAAACAGAATTTACATCTTCTGGGGTCCAGGGAAGGACTCACTTCAGAGAACTGCTGACATCGCTTGGACAACATCCCTTGTTCTTGCCTTTCGTTAAAGAAACTTCTCTGAACTCTGAAATGCAAGATATAGTCGGGGAACCTTGTGAGATCCAATTTGCCTTTGATATTTGTACCTGTCGTAGAACTAGCAGAGTTCCTGGCAGGTTGAACTCAGCTCAAAGAAAGCAGCGTGTTCAAAGAGCACTTTTAGAAGAAAAACTGACAGCTCTCATTGAAATAAAATAGAAGACTGGAGAGCAACTCGGGAGGCAAATAGGAACACGTCTAATATTAGAAGGACTGAGAATAGTCCTGCTTCAAGACCCATGGGCCACTTGCCTAGAAGGCCCAACTGTGAGGCACTCACTCCCTTATGCAACTCAGAAAAGCTCTCTGAGGCAACTGCAATCCACACTGCTCAAAGAACTGACTGCACTTCCCAAAACATTCCCCTGGCTTCCAGCTATTCATAACGCATTACCCCCAACACGCATGCATACGCACCCTCCACCCTGGTGGTCCTGTACTAATTCATGCAAGCATCTCTTTGGTCCATGTGGGGTCAGGCTAGGATAAAGCCCTTAATACACTAAGCACTCGATTGCCCAGGGCAAGACACATCCTGTTCCACATACCACAAGCTAGCTCGGCAAATAAATGAAGCCTTCATAAAACAACAATACGTTGGTGTTGAAAGTTGTCTAGCATCTGGAGAGTTTCCCATCACAGCCCATGTGCTCTTGCCTTCATCAGCTTGTGCCTTATGTGACTGAAGACAGCTTTGACAGATTTTTGACAGGGAAAAAATCAGACTTACCCTTTGTCTTCCTTCCACACTGCCTTGCCACCTACCATCCCAGTTCTTGCTTCAGCATAAACACTGAACAAACAGCCTTTTCACATCTATTGACAAAAGTATCTATGGCAATGTTTATCTGCCTCCAGTACCATCAGTTTAAAGTGCTAGAAAATATCCTCGCTAAACCTCTGCATGCTCTCATTTCAACAAGGTTAAGCATTCCCAGAATGCTGCCCCGCTTTGTTTCCTGACCATAAGGTAAAAATATTTGTGCTCAGTGTGACTCAATATGACTCTAAGCAGTGTTTCCCCAGACCTGCCTGGTGATAACAATCACCCGGAGACTGGCTAAAGTGACACATGTTCAGCCTGCATCCATGATCCATTAACCCAGGCCTTGCTGGGAAGGGGCCCAGAAAGCCAGAGCATCCAGGCAACCCAGGTGATTGCTATAATCAGGAAGCTTTCAAAAATCTCTCTAGACACAAGAAATGCTCCTAATTTCAGAACCTCTCAGCTGCAACGTAGCATCCGTCAAGAGTCTAGCAGGTGCACCCTACCCACTTGAGCTCTAGCTCTATCAGAATCTCTCAAATATAAGATGGGTCCCCTTATTTTTTTTTTATTATTTTTTATTTTTTTAAACTGAGTCTCGCTCTGTCACCCAGACTGGAGTGCAGTGACGCAGTCTCGGCTTACTGCAATGTCTACCTCCTGGGTTCAAGCGATTCTCCTGCCTCAGCCTCCTGATTAGCTGGGACTACAGACATGTGCCACCATGTCCATCTAATTTTTTTGTATCTTTAGTAAAGATGGGGTTTCACCATGTTGGCCAGGCTGGTCTCAAACTCCTGACCTCAAGTTATCTGCCTGCCTGCTTCAGACTCCCAAAGTGCTGGGATTACAGGCGTGACCCACCACACCCAGCCCGTTTTTTACTTTTAAACAGCATGGCTGTCAATACTTTTCTCCTTTATTCCCTTATCATGTTGCATAACATGAGAACATTTAACAAGGCCCAGCAAGTGTCTACTTCTATTAGGAAATACTTTTGTAGTCCTAAGCAATGGTAGAACACTGGTCTGTGGTTTATAAGTACACTATTTGGGTCATTTATGGCAAATGATGGGTCAGGAAGGAGATCTGCTTGGTTACAGGGAAGGATTTGCCCCAGGACATTTGCATGCATCATGCAAAGAGCAGAAGGATATGTGGCCAATATGGGTTTTCTTCTTCTTGGTGTCTTAGGGGCTCTTCTTCCAGCTGCTCCCTGTGACTCCCCACTGCTCTGCATTCTGCCATATCCGGTGATGGTTTATAACACAATTCACCAGGCAGCAAGCCATGTGCCTCTTACAGACAGCAATTAGGAGAGAAGGCCAGAATGCAAGGTATTTGAAAATGCAGTTAGAAAAATTCTGATCTTATTTTCTCTTACCTCCTGGTGAAAAAAAACAATCTATGTAGTCATCAAAAAGCAGACAGCTAACTCTGGGGTCATTCAGAGTCAACAGTTCAGTCAATATAAAAACGAACCAGAGAGTCAATGTCAAGCATGAAAATCCATTAAGCTGAAAGTCTTATTTTTTTCATCAAAAGGATTCCTTACCTTTTCTTTGGCTTTCCTTTTCGTCCCTGCATCCATCCACTCATTTTCTTTCTCTAGCATGTCAATAAAGGCCCAGCGAACGCCCTCAATCAATTCCTCCATCTACAAGAAAATACCCAAAGAGGGAAACGTCAAAGCCAAGAAGATTCAGCCAATGTTTTCTGGAACAGAAATCGGCTTGCATGAGAAATGACTCAATACTCTACATGGTAAGTAAGGGGTTCTTTCAGCTTGACTCCACACTCTGGCAATACTTCTTTTTCCAGGAAAATTCCCTTTTTTCCACCACTAAAAGATAACTAGCCAGGCCCAGCATGGTGGCTCATGCCTGTAATCCCAACACTTTGGGAGGCCAAGGCAGGCGGGTCGCTTGAGCCCAGGAGTTCGAGACCAGAAAGGGCAACATGGTGAAACCCCATCTCTACAAAAAATATAAAAATTAGCCGGGAATGTGGCTCACTCCTGTAACCCCAGGTCTTTGGGAGGCCGAGGTGAGCAGATCCCAGGAGTTCAAGACCAACATGGGCAACATGGCAAAGCCCCACCTCTACAAAAAATATAAAAATTGGCTGCGTGTGGTGGTGAATGCCTGTAGTCCCAGCTACTCAGGAGGCTGAGGTGGAAGGATTGCTTGAGCCCAGGAGGTGGAGGCTGCAGTGAGTCGTGACTACACCACTGCACTCCAGCCTGGGAAACAGACCAAGACCCTGTCTACAAAAAAAAAAAAAAAAAAAAAAAAAAAAAAGGATAACCATTTATTTCCATGAGAATAATGTGATGGCCCAGCTGTAAAATGATAAGAATTCCCCATAGATTATGACAAACTAATAACTTACCTGTCTGTAGCTACTCAATTAGTTCATCCTTATCAAAGTACCAACTAATTTTAATCATTTCATAAAGGACTGAGAGAGACAGGCAAAGGCATGGGCTGTGCATTTCAGACAGGTACTGCAGAAGAAAGTGAACAGTTGAAACAGATAACTCTTAACAGAGAAACAGGCAGGGAGAGTCAGCACCCCAAAGGACACTTCACCAGTATGAATCACACTTATGTCAGGATCCCAGTTCTTTCCAAATGTAGTCCCATGGGTTATACCAAATGTTCAACTGTTCTATATCATCTGCCTATCACCTTCGTACTCTCTACTTCTTGGCAGCTCAGAAAAGTCTTATTATTTGAAATCTAAAAGGGTAGGTCTAGGCCAGGGGCAGTGGCTCACCCCTGTAATCTCAGGAATTTGGGAGGCCAAAGTGAGAGGATCGCTTGAGGCCAGGAGTTCAAGACCAGCCTGGGCAACACAAGGAGACCTCATCTCTATAAAAACAAAATTATAGGCCAAGTGCAGTAGCTCACACCTGTAATCCAGAATTTTGGGAGGCCAAGGTGGGTGGATCACCTGAGGTCAGGAGTTTGAAACCAGCCTGGCCAACATGGAGAAACCCCATCTCTACTAAAAATACAAAATTAGCTGTACATGGTGGCACATGCCTGTAATCCCAGCTACTTGGGAGGCTGAGGCAGGAGAATTGCTTGAACCCGGGAGGCGGAGGTTGCAGTGAGCCAAGATCGTGCCATTGCACTCCAGACTGGGCAACAAAAGTAAAACTCCATCTCAAAAAATTACATATATATATATATATATATATATATATATATTTTTTTTTAATCTTAAGACAGAGTCTTGCTCTGTTGCCAGGCACCAGGCTGGAGTGCAGTGGCGCAATCTTGGCTCATTGCAACCTCCACCTCCCGGTTTCAAGCAATTCTCCTGCCTCAGCCTCCCAAGTAGCTGGGACCACTGGCACACATCACCACGCCCAGCTAACTTTTGTATTTTTTAGTAGAGATGGGGTTTCACTATGGTCTCGATCTCTTGACCTTGTAATCCGCCTGCCTCAGCCTCCCAAAGCGCTGGGATTACAGGCGTGAGTCACCATGCCCAGCCACATATATATTTTTAAAAGACCAGGCATGGTAGTGCCTGTACCTGTAGTCCCAGCTACTCAGGAGGCTGAGGCAGGAAGATCACTTGAGCTCAGGATTTGAGGTTGCAGTGAGCTACAATCACACCACTGTACTTCGGCCTGGGTGACAGAGTGAGACCTTGTCTCTAAAAAAGTAATAAAATAAAATGGTAGGTCTAAAGGGGGCTGCCATAAAAAGGTGGTCTTCGGAAAGATCTATTGCAAAGCATTTGAACAGTGAGGCCACACCCATAGTTAGGATGTGTGTGCCCTGGCTTTGCTGCCAGTGCCTGGAGACCAGAAGAGAGGACTGGAGGAAAGGAGCTGCTGACACATCACATTAGAGGCCACCTGCAGCAATGTGACGAGGCCCTGCCTGTTCATGGATACAAACCCCTGGAAATCCATCTCTCCTGCAGAGATGCTTTGGCTTTCTCAATGGGACACCCAGGAAAGAAAAAATACTGGGTTTGGCCCCAGAATGAACTTTTCATTTGAGAGTATGGGGTTGTAAATCAATTATGAACATTAATTCTAGAAGAAAAGACATTGAAATGTTTCCTTGGTTCTATAATAAATTGTCAGCATGAAGCTCAAAATAATTTTTATTCTGTTTAATAAGTTTTCAGCTATGTTTTCAGTTCAATAACAGTTGTGAGGGAACCAGAGCTGTAAATCAGTGGGCTGGGTTCCATCGTATGTAAATAAGAACAAACAGCAGATGGAAGGGGGTCGGGGGAGCTTCACAGCTATTTCTTTCCAACTTGGTAAAAACATTAAAAGAAGAGAAACTTCAACTTGGGATAAAACACAAACTGTTAGAAGAGCAAAGGGTCCTTTAAAAATCATTAAGTCAAGGGCCCGGTGCAGTGGCTCACGCCTGTAATCCCAGCCCTTTGGGAGGCTGAGGCGGGCAGATCATGAGGTCAAGAGATCGAGATCAGCCTGGCCAACATAGTAAAACCCCATCTCTACTAAAAATACAAAAATTAGCCAGGCATGGTGGCAGGCGCCTGTAGTCCCAGCTACTCAGGAGGCTGAAGCAGGAGAACTGCTTGAACCCGGGAGGCAGAGGCTGCAGTGAACTGAGATCACGCCACTGCACTCCACTCCAGCCTGGCAACAGAGAGAGAATCCATCTCAAAAAAAAAAAAAAAAATCATTAAGTCAGTGGTTCTTAACCTTGTCTCCCCATTAGGATCTCGAGCAACTTTTAAAAATACTGACAAAATATTTCTAAATAAAATTAAAAGTCCTGAGGCTTGGGCATCAGGATGCTAATGTCATTGTTCTAAGGTCCAGCCTGGGCATTGGGAAGGTTTAAAAAGTTCCCCAGGTCATTCTAACATGCAACCCACTGGACCAGGGAAAACCACTTATTTGACAGATAAGGAAATTAAGGGTCAAGGAGTCTGTGATCTGCTCAAGCTCATGCAGCTAACGTGGACCAGAACCAGGACCTAAGCAAAGAGCTAAAACAACAGAGGAGAGCTCAGAGCCTTTAGTGGCAATAGAGGATCACCCACAAAATCAGAGGAAAATGCCAGGGGCTGAAAGGGAGTCAACTTAAAGATGCAGAAGTCACCACTTCAAACAGAAAACTCACATCAGGAGGATGTTAAAATGACAAGGAAATCTCTGGGGACTTCGATTTTTTGCCTACGAGCATGTGTAAGTGTTTTTTATTTTTGTTTCGGTTTTTGAGATGGAGTCTCACTCTGTCACCCAGGCTAGAGTGCAGTGGTGCAATCTCAGCTCACTGCTCTGCAACCTCCACCTCCTGGGTTCAAGCAATTCTCCTGCCTCAGCCTCCCGAGTAGCTGGGATCAGTAATGCACACCACCACATCCAGCTAATTTTTGTGTATTTTTAGTAGCAATGGGATTTCACCATGTTGCCCAGGCTGATCTCAAACTTTCGAACTCAGGTGATCCACCTGCCTTGGCCTCCCAAAGTGCTGGGATTACAGGCGTGAGGCACCGGATCCGGCCCTAAGTCTTTAGGACTTCATCATGTAGCATCACACATTGGCTGGCCCATCACCTTCACAGAGAAAAAGCAATAAGGTCTTCTCAAATTAGGGAGGGGCGATGGGGAGGGAAAGAAGTGGATGGACTGAAAGGAGAGAGTTAGGGACCAAACCAATGGAAACAGGCGATTCATTTTACGTGAGAAAGTGGGGAGAGTCAGATTAATTCCTAGGCTTCAGAAAGGAATGGGCAACCACCACCATTCAATAAGACTAAGAAAGTTGGAAGAGAAAGAGGGATGGGGACAGAAACCAAACTAGTGGGATGAAGAGTGTATGGGAAGCAAAGACAGCAAGTCTGGACAAACTAATTGAATTTGTCAATGTAGGAGAAAAAGCAAAGAGAGAAGAAGATGTAGGGTTGAGAGAAGGGTCTGGAGTCTGGGTTTCATGCATATGCTTGCCAATACTACTCCTACTATTTTTGTTGCTGTTGTTGAACAGCTGAGAGAGTTGACGACATTTAAATACCAGTAGAAAGGATCCAGCAAAAAGGAAGAGACTGGAAAATATAGGACACAGAAAGCCATGAGTGGGGTCTGAGAGGGCAGAGGAGGCAATGGGATCCAGAGACTATATGGAAGGATTCACCTTAGACATGAGACAGACTCAGGAGCAGAGAGAAGGCTAAAATGATAGGCAGGCATGCAGGAGGAGCTAAAGATTAAATGTAGACAGTTGAGAGAGTCCTAGTATAAAGGTGGGTCTTTTCTCCATGAAATAGGATTGAGACCTCCTGCTAAAAGGGACGTTTCTCTAAAAAATGATATTTCTTCACACATGGCTGTATGCATCCTGGCAGCATGAACATATTACTAGGAAGAGAGGTACAGTAGTACCCCCTTATTCAGGATTTTGCTTTCCACAGTTTCAGTTACCTGTGGGCAACTGTGGTCTGAAAATACTAAATGGAAAATTGCAGAAATAAATAATTCACATGTTTTCAATTGCACACTATTCTGATTAATGTGACGAAGTTTCACGCTCTCCCAATCTTTCTGGCCCGGGACGTGAATCACCCCTCCACTTGTCCAGTATCTCCACCCTGTATATATACCCACCCAATAGTCACTTATTAGCTATCTTGGTTAGCAGTCAGATCATA